AATGAATTGAATTTATACATGCAAAACACAAAGAACAGTGTGTGTGGCACAAGATAAGCATTCACTGAGTGTTAGCTATTATTATTACTACGTTTCTGAAGGTCAGTTTGGCAATATATATCAATTTTGTTTGGCATAGTAACTCCATAATCATGGATAGACTCAAATATTTATGTGCCTAAATAATCACAATTTTATTATCTATAAATATGAATTAACTGGAATCAACCAAAACACTTGGCAACAGGGAAATGGTTAAGCAAACTGAGGTACCATAAAGTACTAGTCTTTACAAATCATATTCTTCATACATTTAACATGAGAATACCATATTTTTAAAAAATAGTTTTTAAAATGATGTAGTACCTCAATTTTATTGGGTGCTCACAAGTATACAACACAAAGATTAAAAGAAAACACATCAAAATGTAAATGTTGCTTATTCCCAAGCAGTAGGGTTAAGAGGTGATTTTTATTTCCTTATTTATAAATTTAGATACTTAAGTTTCTTATCATGAATATCCATCACTTTTATAATCAGAAAATCTACTAAAATGAATTCATTGCTTTGACAGATTATAACTTAATAGTTTTCACAATACACTGACAGACATTAGGTATCTCAGTGATTTGTGCTTACTAGTAACACCTTTACTTTTTTACTGTATTTTTGATGAATAAACGAGATCTATTTTCAGAGTTGCATTTGAAACAACTGTCCAGTAACTTTTACAAAAATTTAACAAAATTGCTAACAAATATCAGATACTCTTCAATGAAAATAACAGCAAAAAATTATCTGATGGGAGCAATTTAAAATACAAAGTCTTAATTATATTATCTTCATGAACTAGAGAAATGCTGTTATTACTTAGCTAAATTTAATGAATGAATGATGAACAAATAAAGCTTTCTCCATCTTGTCTCAATGAACTAATCTTATTTAAAAGGCCAAATTCTACAATATACCCTATACTTTAAAATAGTTTCAAATTCAATACTGCTACTAATCATTTTCCAGGCTCCTCTGAAGTATCTAGGAAGATAATGCAAAATACAAATGCCTTATAGGTAACTACTTTACGCTTTTGTTTTTTAACTTCTAAAGCTGAAAACATACTAACAGCTACAACATAACTGGATGTCCTAAAACTACTAAACAAATCAGTCTAAGTGTAAGCAACGCTTTAATGAATCTTTTTTTTTTAATTTTTATTTATTTATGATAGTCACAGAGAGAGAGAGAGAGAGAGAGAGAGAGAGAGGCAGAGACACAGGCAGAGGGAGAAGCAGGCTCCATGCACCGGGAGCCCGACGTGGGACTCGATCCCGGGGCCTCCAGGATCGCGCCCTGGGCCAAAGGCAAGCGCCAAACCACTGCGCCACCCAGGGATCCCCTTTAATGAATCTTTTATAACTTACTCCATAGTTTCTGTATGCTAGAGAATGATAAGTAAATATAGTTAATTCGCCACCCTGTTTGATTTCCAGGACAATTATTCAGCTTTCCTGTATATAGTCCAGGTAATCCTAGGCAACTGTTACTTTCTCTAAGGAAATCTATTATGAAGATCAAAGCTGTTTTTTCCCAAATCTAGCAAATTTTACCACAGCTAGGAAAAACAAAATTAAGTGTCCCCAATTACCATTAAACTCTTGTGTTCTTAAGTACATCACAAATGATCTTAAAATTCATCTCCTTCTATTGTCATTCACTCTGTGGTTTCCATCTAACAATAACCTCTACATGACTCACTGTCCATGCTACACAGGTAGAGCTCCAAGAAGCCAATCTAGGATTATGGAGTGGACATCACAACCAGAGATTCTTCATCATGACTAAGCTCTATAATAACTGAAACCACTTCCAGATCACACACTTCTAAAGACCATCACTTTCATAATATGACCTCTAAACTCTGAAGGCTAAGTCAAGAAGGGACTATCAGAAGAGAGATGAGCATTTTCATTCAAACATATCCCCTCCAATCCAATCAAGTTTTTTCAAGCCCATGTGGACAAAACCCATGTGGAAAGTACAGATGGAGAGGAATGGCTTTTCGAAGATAAAGGACAAAAGGTTCACCTGACAGCAACTAATTCTACATAGCAGAACAAAAGAAAAGCTCAGGAGTGAGACATTCAACAACAGCAAGGAAAGAAGAGCAGAAACTTCTTGGGGCAGCACTCTGATCCAAATCCATACAGCTTTCTTCCTTAAAAAAAAAGTTTTTTGCCCCTTGCTGTTAATTTTGGGTACCAAAAAAAAAAAAAAAAAAAGTGAAATGACATATTTTGTGCAGTGTAGGAAAGCTTTCAAGCTGGGATAAACTTTAACTCCATCAACAATTTATGAATCCATAAAGTCCTTACTGTTTTCCATCTTAAAAAGAACTAATTTCTCTTAAAATCTTACGAAAAGTTCTACTTAAAACGCAAATTGTAGATAAAACTGTGGTATGGCATAACTTACTCTTGGGAACAATAATGAAGGAACACTTAAAATATGTACTCAAAACACTAAAAGAACCTGATTTCACTGATGGGTCTGTATCTGGAATAGGCTTACACATCTTATAGAATAGCCTGTGAGTTCACTTACCACTCTATTTTGCAATGAAAACAAAACAATCTCAAAACATATTTTTACACTTTTTACACGTCGGTTTTATAAAACAGAATCCTGCAATGAGCACCTGAGACCTTTGGTTAAACTATAATTTTCTTAAACTACAGTACCTACTATGTGTGTCCAAATATTAATACAAAATACTATATAGCTATAAATATTGTACATCTGTACCACATACAAACGCTATTTTTTCTTTATGGAACAGTATGCATTTACTACTAGAAGACTGCTAACCTGTAAGAAAAGAGAAATTTTGAAGGTCTATAAGGACTCATTTACCAAAGGGTAAGTCAGTGAAACATCATACCACTGAGGCATTTATCCAAGAAACTGTAACTTAGAAGTTTATAAATAAAAAAAAAAAAATCATGGTTCTTTTCAGTAGAAACTTGTTACGAATATTATAAATTATGAAACGAAAAACTATGCTTTTAAAAAATAGCAGGTATTAAACTACTGAGTATCAAACAGTAGTCATTTATACACTTCAATAAAGAATATTAGAAAATCTTAGATGGCAACAAGTTGTGGACAGAAAAGATCCAAATTAGCTCACAATCATTAACACAACTAAAAAAAAAAAAAAATCAGTTTCAGGACTATGTGCTAACCTATCATATACTATACTCTTTTGCGAAAGAAATCATGAAATTCTTTCCTGCCTCTCCCAATAATAAATACAACATCCAGAAAGAAGAGATCTTTAGTCTTTCAAGCTGTATTGACTTACTCCAAGCTCCTAGAACAGTGCCTGGCACACAGTACTCAGTCTTCATTAAACGAATGAGGGAATGAAGACCAGGTAGGAAGAGGTAAACCTAAATGGACGAAAAAAGCTAATCACGCTTAAAGGTACAACTGGTTAATCGCAATATTAACAAAAGTGAGTTCACGTCAAATGTGAGCTATGCCGCATTACAGTAGTAAGTCTGAATTAGGAGAACTCAGACTTGAAGAATAGCAAATTTTTCCTAGAAAACTTGTTATACAGAAAACTATTTAAAGCTCTTAATAATTCGAAATCCTGCTAGACATGCTCACAACTGCTTTAGGAGCAAAACTAACATTACTCAAAGATTCGTAAGCCCAGCTCACTTCACTGTTAAGGGAAAACATGCTGACAGACTTCATTAGTTGTCTTCTGGATCAGTGTCTTCCCTCACTGCAAATCACACTTCAGAAAAAAGCAAGCCTTACCACAGTGAATACACACCCCATCCTTCCCCCCCTTCCCAAAATACGACGTGTGTAGGATTCTAAGACATTCAAGATCTTTCCCCAGTTTTACTGTTGTTGTTTTTTTTTTCCGTTCGAACCTTCCGTTCGACTGCCGGTTTGCCTATCTTGACATATACCTGTTACTGTAGCGACGTGAGGCAAGAACGTCCAGTTTCTGTTACAACAGTACACTTTAATTGCTTGCCATGGGCTATCTGAATCAGGTATGGCATCCAAAGTTACACTCTCTACACTAAAAAATGCCAGCGTATGACTCAACGTAACGCCAAAAAAGAAAGTTTCTAAACAGAACAGGCTTTGCTGTCGCTGAAACCCACAGCGTAGAGCAACTCGGGGCAGTGACGACCCCCTCCTGTTGGGCTTCCACGGCTAAGATCCGGAGAGGCCATTGTCCAGCGCGTTTTCTCTGGCTTCCCCTTGACCCTCCTACAAGTGGCGAGGCCAATGCCTGCACAAGAAGAGTTTGTAAAGTGCTTTTGGACGCCTGTGGATGAAGAGGCTATAAATACAGCTGATGAGGTTAGGTTGGTGCGTTACCACCGCGCATTGCAAGGAGCCGCGGTCACCGCGTCGCGGGGCGGGGAGGGGGGCGGCCAGCCCCCTTCCTGAGGAGGCAGAGGACAGTCCCCTCCACCCCCCGAAAGGTCTGGCGGGCCGGGTTTTAGGCCGGGTTATTTTGGAGGCCGCACGTGGAAAGTTACACACACGCCCCCCCACGCGCGGAAGACTTCCACAGTCCCCGTCCCCGCGGGTGTGGTGGTCCCGGGAGCCGGCAGGGAGGGGGCACCGGGGGCCGGGCCTACACCCCAGGGACGTGGGAAGGGGCCGGCCCAGGGGCCCCCGCCGCAGCCGGCAGCCGGCAGCCGGCAGCCGACGCCCGCCCGCCCGCCCGCCGGCCCGCCCGCCGGCGGCCCGAGGCTCCCGGGCGGGTGCGCGGCGCCGGCCTGAGGCGCCGGGGCCCCCGAGCCGCCCGCCCCGTGGCCGCGAAGGCTCGCGCCCCGCGGCCGGCGGCGTGGGGGAGGGGAGGCCGGGCCTGCGGCCTGTTGGGGGGAGTTCAGCCCGGGCCTCGCGTGCGGCTCTCCGCCGGGCCCCCCGGCCCCGGGGTCCCAGGCGCCGAGGAGAGACTCACCGGAAAGGCCCGGATCCGCATCTTGGTGTCCTTCCGGCTGCCCGTGCCTTTGCTCAGATTCGACATGGTGCTCGTCCCCTCCCCGGCGGCGGCTTCGGGTCGCACTCCGAGGCGCCGGTGTCACATTTAAGGCGGGCGGGCCGGCGAGGGGCTGCGCTGGGGGGCGGGGGCGGCGGCGGCGGCGGCGGCGGCGCGGCCCCCGGGCTGGGCTGGGGAGCGGGCCGGCCCCTGGGCGGCCGCGGCGGCTCGGGCTCCGGCGGCTCGGGCTCGGGCTGGGGCTGGGCTGGGCTGGGGGGGCTGCGCTGGCGCGGCGCCTCCGCGGGGTCCCCCTCACGCCCGGCTCGGCTCCCTTTATCGCGCTCCTCCGCGATGGCGGCGGCGGCGGCGACGGACAAACATCTCACTGCGCAGGCCGAACGTCCTCCTCCTCCTTCTCCTCCTCCGCCTCGACGAGACGAGATCCGGCCCAGAGGGTGGAGGGGGGAGGAGGGAGGGAGGAGAGCCGGAGAGTGGAGAGATCGGGGGGAGGGGGTGGGCGGACGGGAGGGAGGGGGAGGCGGGCGGCCGCGGCGGCGGGGCGGGGACGCCGAGATCTCGCGAGACGAGGGCGAGCGCGCTGAGAGCGGGAGGGGTCCACGGGAGGGGAGGAGGGGAACGCGGAGTTGGGGGGAAGTGGGCGTGGCCAGCGGGGCGGGGAGGTTGGGTAAGGGGCGGGGCTGAAGGCGGGAGGAGAAAGCTGCCTGTTTGAAAGGGGAGCGTCGGAGCCGCGGAGGTGGTTGCTGATTGGTGGAGCGCGGCGCGGGGTGGGAGGGGCCCCGGTCACGTGGACGGAGGGGGCGGGGCGAGTCCTGAGAGCCGGAGCGGGACAGTAGTGGGCTGGGCGGGGTTGGGCCGCGCCGCGCCGCGCCGCGCGGGGGGAGCGGAGGGGGGCCAGGTGGTTGACTGCAGTCTTAGAACTGGTTCCTGTGCGAGTTTCTAGGGCACGTGAGCTAGGCAGGGGGTGTTTGAGTGGAAGCCAGAAAGTTCAAGGAAGAGTTTGTGCAGGAGTCCCCTGCGGCCGAGTGCCGTGTGCCTTACGGGGGCTCCACCCGGGTGCGCGCCCCCCGCTCTCGGGACTGAGCGGGGCGGTTCATCCAGCCCGCAGAGGTCCCAGGGCCTCTTCCTGGGGGACTCCAGAGCGTTCAAACCTCTTTCTCATCCTTGAAATAAAATGACAACTCCCTTCATGTAGCATTTTGGCAAGTGGTGAAGAATAGAGCGGCAGGATGATAGGAACCTGCCCTTGACCTACCGTTACCAAGAGTATTGTCGATTTTGGAAGCCGAAATTACTGTCTTTGATCCCAGGTTGTTGTGATTTGGGGAGTCGTTTTCGTCCTTGTAGTCAAAGGGTCTAGTTGGATTCATCCGTTTTGCTCTTTATCTTTTTATTGATTGCGAATTTTACTTCCTAACTTGCCTAACTTTGCCGAATTGGCATTCTGTTTGGACTTCTGACACTGCAAAGAATTATGGGAGTTCCCACTAAAATTTATAACCTCCTTTTAGGTGAGAACCTATTGTTGGGATGGGCACCTACATGTGGAAACTCAGGTTTTGGTAGTTTACTTACTTTTATTGTGATACTTTTCAATACCTTTTTAATTTTTTTTTTTTGGATTTTTTTCAATACCTTTTTTAAAGCAAGGATGTTAATACTTTTTCGTAGCATTTGAAAGCTGCGGTTTTATACTCTTTAAGTCAACAGAAATATACCTTGTTGTGTCATTTGCCCTAAGTTAACTTAATCGTGATGACTAAATTTAGGAGTGTTGTGCTTTCATCCCCTATTTTGTTGAATGCCCCTTTGTAAATGTGTTTTCTTGCTTTGTTTTCTGGTATTTGCTAATGAAAACTTGAGTTTAAGAAATAAGGATATTGCTTGAAGCAATACCCCTGTAAATACTGAAGCTAAAAATAGGTCATCAAGAACTGGGTTGATAAGATTGGGAAGGGCTCTGATTTAATATAAGATGGTAGGAGTCTTGGATCAGAGGGTATAATCTATATGCAGATTGGACCTTCATTTCCATAATCATTAGGATATAATAACAACGGATGTTTTTCTGTTGGTTGCACTGCCTGTGGCCCAATTTCTTTGGATAGAAGACCATAAGTTCTAGAGCCAGCTCTGTCAGTTTACTAGCTGTATTTTGCGTCTTTGTGGGAAAGAGTCTTCATCTGTAAAATGGGGGGAAAAGTAGTATTTCCTTCTTGGGCTACTATGAAATTTAGATGATTAACAGATTTTTAAAAGCCCTGAGAGCAGCGCTCAGCACAGAGTAAGCCACTCAATACCTCTTAGCTATTGTTATCATGGGTAATTAAGACCAAGGGCGTGCTATCTTCCTTCATTCAATTTTTTTTTTTTGAAAAATACTTGTATGCTTTTAAAATGAATCTTGTTTTAAAGCTAAGCTGGTCTCCAACACCTGGATTTCGCAAGCCAATAAAATACTCCTCAAAAAGCTGGGGAACTAATATAGGGTTGGCGACTTTATTTTGGCAAGAGAGGGCATTAGAAAGGAATACCTAGCATAGACTAGCCTCATTATCTTATATATATATTTTTACTATAGAAACAAGAGACGGTAATTGTTGAATAAAGGCCAGTTCTTTAAATTCATTAATTTTGCCTTACGAAGAATAATACATATTTTTAATTATTATTTAATAATTTTATTATTATTAATATTAATTAATATTAATAATATTATTAATATTAATAAATTATTAATAATTTTATTATTATTATTTTTATGTAATAATACATATTAAAAATAATAGCTTATTTTTCTTATTTCATCATGAACCTGAGAAAATATCATGGGCCAGCATTTAGGAACCTTCTGAATTAAAGCATATTTCCACGTAATTGTGAGTCATATAATAACTTTTTAAATTTACAGTATTTGTTTTGTGAACCCAGACTTTTTTCACACGCCTGTTTTGTTCAAGCAAAATTTGGCTGCATCTTCAAAGAATCACCGTCAGTTGCATCTTTTGTTAGGCTTTTAACCACAACAGACCAAGAAAAACTCTTCAAAATGAATTTGCCACTGACATTAAGAAATATACTAACTTATTTGTTCGTTTATGAATTCATGTATTCAAGATCTGTTTATTTACGGCTGCTATATGTCATTCACTAGGGTGAATAAGACAGACGAGACCTGCCATCACTGAGTATATAGTCCTTTTCACATCTCAAAATTTGGAAACCACAGACCCAAGTTGGATTTGGCAACAACTTCCTATACACTGCAGTCCAGAAATCAGAGATTTTCCTTCCTAGAAAATCAGCAATCTCAAAACATATATGAAATATTCTCAAAAGCATGGGCTATCCTTCTGTACTGGGTGGTATTCCTTGACTTGCAAGGAAGCAAAGTAGCAAATGAATTTTCAAAATACTAGTTTTTCTGCCAACTGCCACCTGATCTAGCAAAGAAAGCAGTGCTGAAATAGGAACTCACTAGACGCTGCGTGCCTGCCGGGTGGTATTCTTACTTATGCTGACCATGTCCTGACACAGGAGAACAGTGGCCCCATTTCCATTTATTTGTATGGAACACGTGCAGTCAGAGAAGCCAGGAGGCTGGGTAGGCCAGTGCCTTCTCTACATCCCAATCTAAAATGGACAGCACAGGCTGTGAGAAGCCAGCGAAAGAGAATAGCTTCTTCTTGACCATGAGTTTCTAGGTATCCAGGATACCAACTCACTTTAATCACTGTTTCAGACCTGATTTGATTGTGTAGATACTGGTTTTTAAAACAGCTGACAGCCTACCAATTCAATTAGAAAGACCTGTTCGATGGTTTTGACTGGACAAAGACTTGTTAGGGAAACGTATGTTTTTCAGATTGGAAGGAGAAGATTTATAGATATTATCACTTCTTTGAAAATAAAGGCTAGATCTTCTACTTTCTTTCTTGTTTCCAGTAGGCGACCAGTAAGTATTGTAGGTCATTAGATTTGCATGTGTTTAGTAGCATTCATATGTGTCTTATAAGAGGACATGTTATAGGACTATCCCATTGAGAGTATAACCACAGACACTTACATATATGAAAACTAGATTTTCATGTACCTATGTGCTTTTTCTACTTTGTCCTTACTATTTTCCATACATATATATGCACGCATATATATACATTATCAAAGCAAGAAGTATATAAGATGTGAGAGCATATGAAAAAAGTTAGGTCTTGTATTAAAGAAAAATTTTTTAAGATTTTATTTATTTATTCATGAGAGACACACACAGAGAGAGGCAGAGACATAGGCAGAGGAAGAAGCAGGCTCCATGCAGGGAGTCTGATGTGGGACTTGATCCCAGGACTCCAGGATCATGCCCCGGGCCAAAGGCAGGCACCAAACCGCTGAGCCACCCAGGCGTCCCTAAAGAAAAATCTTAAATGTCTGTTATATCATAAAAACTCATCTCCATTTTTCATCACATTGTCATGCTAAATAGTCGTCTCACTGGCAGCTTTGGAAGCTTTGTAGTTAGCCCGGTCAGTGTTCTGTCTTCTACATTTATCACGAAAGTTAATATTTTGGAATAAAAATATCTATACAGCTAACTGAATTTAACAGAATATAAATTCTCTATTTAAAATTATAGGTATTTCATGCAATTTTGTAATTTTATTTTGAGGAAAAAGAATTTATTTTGAGGAAAAAGAATTTCCTCTTACCGATAGCAGTAACTGTGTCAAGAAACCTCTAGGGGACAATTATGAATATGTATTGCTTTCCTTCATGATGAATGAAGTATATGTTGAATTTTATAACTCATCAGCTCTTCTTTGTGAAGTAAGTTAATTTTGGAGTTGAGATAAAGCACGGTTCCAAAAAGCTATGAAAGTAAATAGTTTAAATTTTATGCTAGATATAGTAATTGTGTGAATTATAAATACAACAGTCAACAGTCAGCAAATGTAATAAAATAGCATTATCTTCAAACTTGTTCAATAAGCTATTTATCTTTAGTTCATAGTTAAATGGTATTCTTTACTGTATCTTGAACTAGTAAAAATCAAAATCTGGCAGAGGTGAAGAATAAACTTTAAGAGACTAAAAAACAAGAAAAAATTTATTTGGGCCAATTTCTAGCTGTATATTAATATAATTAATTAAGTCCTAAAG